CTGAGTCTGCAATCACGGCTTCAATTTTTGAATTGCAGAATAATTAGATGCACTATATCTATTTTTGTATATAAGATATCTATGGTCCAACCTCGTACCTGGGCTGTATAGGAAAGAGCCTGGGCTGCCTCCTCCGCAGGCCCTCGTTAGGTCACGCACAATCTGGCGAGGGCCTGCGGAATCTTGTAAAAAAAATGGCGCCGGCGCACGTCAGCAAATAAATTTATACATAATCTTGAATATAAACAGGATATAAAAAAGTGGCTTGAAACTTGTAAATTAAAATGGCGACTCTAGGGACGTGGCAGGAAGCATTTTTTAACGATAAGGTTTGTTGTCCACACCAACGTTGCACGGATAAAACTGCCTCCTTTAACGAAGCAGGATATAAATAATTTATTCATTTAACAAGATTCCGCAGGCCCTCTCGAAATCGTGAATGACGCAACGGATCGTGCGGAGGAGACAGGAGCCTGGGTACGGACTAGGTTGTAACCGGTCTCAGTTCTCTATTGCTGGCCCGACTGAATGAACTGAATATTTCGGTATACAGAAGGAGTTTGGTGAACAACCAATCGGCGTGCACTGTAGCTTATATTTTAATGTATACTGTCGCAAATCATGTTTTACTTACCCTGGCAATACCCCCATTGTCCATCTCTATCGTAATCTACTGTCGTAGCACACCATATTCGGTTATCTCGGGGCGACTTCGTACAACGATCGTAAACCGAATCACGGTAGATGAATGGGAAGTGGCAGCATGCGCCCCCTGCGTTGCCGTCGTGTGTCACGTGACATCCTAGGAAGGCGCGAAAATTTTATACGAATAACAAATCTCTGACAGCATAGCATTTAAATTAAACTTAAACTAAACTAACTTTATTTATACTGGATAGCTCGTTTTAACCAAGTTTTGTTAAACGTATTGTAGCCCAGACAACTATTTTAAACCATAAACGATTTAGTTTTATATGAAACTTTACTTAAGTACTTAAGCATACATCAGAATGTCATCCTGAATATAAGTAACATTAGCATTACTGTCTGACCCATTGAACTAAAAATAACTGGAACGCTACGTTCAAGCGGAAGCTTGAAGCTAAATTATACAAGCTCGTACACAGGCTTGAAAAGGCCCGTTTTAAACTGAAAAGGCCTGTTTCCCTTTCGATTCGCATCCTGCCATGAAAACATTCAAAACGGCATGCTTCAAGCGCCCCTGTATTGTCTCGCGAATAAATCGCGCAGTAGAAACACGCGTGGAAGTGCGTGTCTGGGAGTCAAAACTTGCTTCATTTGGCTTCATGGGAGTCAAATTTTGGCTTCAAAATTTGCATGCGCAGTTTACTGAACGTAGCGTTCCAGTTATTTTTAGTTCAATGGTCTGACCTTCAAAAACTAAATAGCGGGAATAAATTGACTAACTGTATTTAAATTGTGTAATAATGCCAAATCATTAAATTGGCAAAAATTTGTTATATCATAAAAGAATATTTCTGTCTTGATAAAATTCTTAAGAGGAGGGAGGGGGGGGGGGGATCTCAGCCCACAAACTGAAAGGGGCTAACCCTCGTGTGCCCCTTCCAGTACATCGACGACGCGTCTCAATTTCATCTCAAGAATGAGCGCTAAGTACTCCGATTACTGTAGTAAATGCTTGAAGCTTTTTAAAATAACGTCACAAACAGCTAAGTTGAGGAGAAAGGATGTGGTGTTTGCTATAAGGCTGACTTTATGTGACACATCAGTCACATCTAACGTCGCAATAAGCTATCACGTTGATGCTACAAAGACGTGATAGCCGTAGTGCTTAGCTGAAGCCTGGTTTCCATATGGTCGTAATGGTCGTGAAAATAGAGTCACGATCTTTCTCAACGGCCAGTTTATAGTAGTTTATACCTGTATTAAACCACATTTCAAACACTCATTAATAATTCATAAGCTTATTGGCAAATCATGTCAACTATATTATGTCACGTGCAGTGGCTTTAAACCTGATAAAACACTCCTAATTAGTATTCTCTATATAAAGAATAATAATAAGGCAGTATCTATTGTTGTCGTGTCCTCATTAGTAATTTTTATATAAAGAATACTAATAAGGCGGTATATCCATTGCATTTGTATAGTCGTGTTTGAAGCCGTTTAATAAACTCGCAGGTCGTGTTTCATTAGGTCTGAAGTCACTGACGCTGCGCGCTCGTGGCTTTAAACCTAATAAAACACTCCTGCTCGTTTATTAAACAGTACATAAATCATGAGTATTCTCTAGTTATAATCACTCCGCGCGTATTATTTAACCACATATAAATCATAGGTATTCTCTAGTTATAATCGTATTTTCCATTCTAAAATGTTCGGTATTTCGGCTGATGAGAAAGATCCTGACTCTGAATCTTTACGACTGTTACGACCATATGGAAACCAGGCTTTAACGTTGTATTCAGAATGCTACTGCTGTTGAAGATATACCTAGGGGCTAGGACCGCAAATTATTCATACTTTTTGTCTTGCATGAAGAATTTAGTTGTTGACTTGCCGTGTCGTAGAACATTAACTCTCTACTGTCTCTAGATATGTTAATTGGAGAAACGTTTCTTCTTACATGCGACTGAGGCGAAATTATAATCCATGAACCGCATATGCAGGAATGGTGCCCTAGCCGTAACCACTGCCGTTAATACTCTCGTAGAATACAAGACGCCATCATGTAAGCGCAGGTTTATGTTAGATTTATCATTGTATGAAATCGTATGTCATGCGTGTTTAATCCAGGAACAGTTACGAGAGACGAGAAATGCAAGTCCTGGGGAATTACGAGAAATGCAACTCCACGCAAGTAAGTAGCCTATATAATCTTGACACAATTATACGTTCACAGGATATGAGCTATGAAAGTGGAAGTGGTGGGGTGGATTGCTGGAAGGAGTTTTTGATTAGGTTTCTGTTGTATAATCTATTTCTTTCGAATTTTTCATCATGAATTATAAAAACAATACAATATACGTATTAATTATTATAAAGGGGTTAGTGTAATTTGCATAGAGATTATAAATAACACTAGAGGAGGCATTGTAATCTTAACTCAGTAAAAAAAGGGAACGCGACTATTGGGGGGCAAATTTAAGTCCCGGATGTGTATTCGTGTTCCCATTGGTGACGAGTTTCAAATCAGCCAATGAGAGCATGATTTTATATCCGGGACTTGAATTTGCCCCCCATT